GTATGAAATGACGAAAATGCCCTTCAATTAACGGAAAAAAGTTAACGGAGTTAGCAATAAGGACCAATCGTCAAAAGTTTTGAAAACACAGGGACCATCTATGAGGTTTTTAAACCACGAGGACTAAACTTCATATTTTGGGTAACCACAGGGACCATTTATGATGTTTTTTCTTCTTTTAAACCCAAAATATATTTTGTTTAAACCAAAACAACGTTTTTTAAATAGACTTTATTTTTTAAAACTCAAAATGTACTTTTATCCGGAAAAATTTTCTAAGAAAAAATGAAAATTTTGAAAATGTGTTTAGTTTAACGATTTTTCTAAAATTTTATTTTTTCCAAAATAACGAAGAACTCTTATTTTTTAGAAATTATCTCTTTTTGACAAAAAGATTCAACATACACAAAAGCGACAAATACATTGAAGAATACACTGTCCCTCAGAAAAAAAAAAAAAAACGAATCACTAAATTGAAACTAATCTTAATGATATTAACACCGTGTGTTATTTTAAATTTTACGTGTTTCTTAAAACAAATAAATCGATGAATTGAAACTAATCCGCCGAAATGAAACTAATTACCGAAACAAGCTATTCACCGCCCACTGCTTCACATAGGTAAATGATTATTTGCATAAAAGAACTAATAGTTTCTATAAACTAATTTTTTTAAAAACTATTTGCAACCGTCGCTTGGCGCGGGTAAACGACTAGTATATATATATATATATATATATATATATATATATATATATATATATATATATATATATGAGTAAAATACACGAATGGTCCTTATGGTTTGGGGTAATTTGCACGTTTGGTCCCTAACTTATTTTTTTGACTCAGAAGGTCCCTACTGTTTGTTATTGCTACACATTTGGTCCCTATTGTTTGTTTTTGTTACGCGTTTGGTCCCTATCTTACGTAAAAAGACAATTATTTAAATAGAGAAAAATGATAGAGTAGGTAAGATAAGGAGAGAGGATGAGATTGAGGGTGTGTTTATTTAAATAAATTAAAAAATCAAGGGAAAAATATACTTTTTATGTAAGACAGGGACCAAACGTGTAACAAAAACAAACAGTAGGGACCTTCGGAGTTAGAAAAATAAGTTAGGGACCAAACGCGCAAGTTACCCTAAACCATAGGGATCATTCGTGTAATTTACCCTATATATATATATATATATATATATATATATATATATATAATATATATATATATATATATATATATATATATATATATATATATATATATATATATATATATATATATATATATATATATATATATATATAACCTTGATTAATTAGGTAAGTGCCAAATGGATTGGGCATCAGATAGTCCGGCTTAAAATTCCCAAATTGCAGGCCCGATGATTAAACAATGTATTCAAATGGAGCCCAGCCCCGTTAAAAGGTGGCTAAATAAACCGGATATGTAATCTGGAGCGGACTAGTTTTTAGTTTTTTAGATCGATTATCATTTGTTACACTTGTACGTGAGAAGTTGCATTTTATTTTTCTAAAATCGGTTTAGACGTAAGATCATCTATGTTGGTGCCTGTTATTATCCTTTTAGGACGTGTTAGACAAAACTAGCTAGTAATGCTATATGATATAACTTTTAGATCCGGAGTTTTTTGTTTAAACCAAACGTTAAAAGTTTGTAGTGTCAAGCGAAACTTTTGGTTTAAAATGGAACGTTTTATCAAACGATAGAAAGTAGAAGCTCCCAAACGTTCCATGCCAAACATGTCATTAGTTACGCCATATAAACCATTACAATTAATATTATATCGATGTAAATTGTAACGTTATTTTTTGTTCAAAAGTGGTCCTCAATTCCTCAATGAGATATCAATAATTAATATACTTTTTTTTTAACATATTATATATACAAGAAAAATGGAGTTGGCTTGTAAACAGTATCCGAGAGAGTCGAGTATGTACATCGGCTAACCGCTTTATTCAGCCGATAATCAGCTTTTCATTTGATTCACCGCTTCCACCGCCTATATTCTCTAATGGTTTTGCTCCATGTAACGCTTGGCTGCTGAAGGCTTCCTCCATTTGATATTGCCACCATCATGCTTCCAATGTGTACATGCTTACATGTTTTCTCTTCCTCAGGTGACGATATGTCATCTCCACTTCATCTGTAAATCGGAAAACCACCGCAACAAACGACCGCTATAGACCGTTGCACACCATTTCCTCCATTATGCCAATAATTTGTTATTGTCATTGCTTCACATCCACAATTCTTCCAAAAGGCTTTCTAGCTCCCAACAACTTTCTTCACTTTTCTTTCAATTACAATAATTGGCATGTTTATGTCATAATTACCTCTTAGTGAATTTTGATAAGGCTTGATGATAACTGAAAAAGCCATCCGGTTTCCTTCATATGGATCTTGAACAAGTTTTTCAACTATATCATCCAAATCTTTTCGTGCAAATGCATCCTTCTCCCGAACACATAAAAAATGAAGAAAATGTTTAACAATTTGCCCAAAATCCCATGAGATGGAACTCAGTACAAACTGAAACACCGTTGTAATCACTATAATTGATCAAAATTACTCTTTCCACACCGGTTTATTTTGAGAAAGTCGCTAATGATTTCTTATATAATATTAGGATACATTTTAAATCATAAAATTACAAGAAATCGATATCTGGTTTTGGAACGTATGGAGTAATTAATAAGTTAAATCAACAAAAATTTCAAAAACTCATTATTCCAAACAGTATGACCTGATTTGATTATTCTCTTCCGTAAACATATCAAAGTATGCCCAACTGACGACATATCAACCACAGAAGATTTATCAATTCTGTGAAATTTTAATAGAAACCGAATAGGAAAAACACCTAGAAGAGATTGTTGTGAGAGTGTAAGAGACAAAAATGTAACTCCTGTCTTTCATGATATAAATGTCGATTTCTGGAAGCCAAAGAACAATCAACGCCGACGGAGGGATTGAGCAGCGACTGCGCTGTGAAGATGTGAGGCAGCAGCGTCGATCTTGACCGAAGAAGAAAACGGATTCGATGGGGGAAGGAAAGAGAGCGGCGTTTTTTTAGGCTTTAGGTTAGATGCGGTTAGGGATGGCAAAAAAGCTCGAACCCGACAAGGAAACTCGAAAACATATCATTTCAGGTCGGGTAACGGGTCATTATCGGGTTCGGGGCAGGGAGTGGGTTCTCCTCGCCCCGCCCCGCCCCGCTCCGATTTTATATATATACACACACAAATCATTTTGATGTTAATTGCACGCATTTAAATATAAAATACTTACTGTGGACAATCTTTTTAGTTTTTAAAAATATGGTGTGAATAATCATTTTTTATGTTTTGACATATTACACTAAACTTAAATCAAATAATTTTTTTAGTTATTAATAATTATTTATGTTTTGACGTATTATACAAAACTTAAATCACATAATTTTTAATATAACGTCCACTTTATTTTTTTAAAGTGATGCATCATATTTTTAATTTAAAAGGAATGCTAGAACATGTATTTCTTATATGACATCGGAGCATCCTAAAACGGAATAAAGATTTTGTTATGAATTGTTATAAACCTGATAAGATACTCGAAACCCGACGGGAAAACTCGAAACCCAATGGGACGCCCCGATAAGATACTCGAAAAATATCGGGACGAGTTTGGAAAACCATACCCCGCCCTGTTGTCATTCCTAGAAACGGTTTGAAAAGGGTAAGTCAAATCTTAACCGGATAAGAACACGCCGAATGTTTTTTTGGTTGAAGTCTTTTGAAAAATAAAATGTTGCGCCATAAAAAGTGATGCGTTAGAAAATATTTTTGTAAAAAAACAAACAACTTCTACCAAAAGTTTTCTAATGTTTTGGAAAAGAGCAAATTACACGAATGGTCCCTATAGTTTTGGATAATTTATACATTTGGTCTCTAACTTATATTTTTTTAAACTCAAAAGATCCTTACTGTTTGTTTTTGTTGTGCGTTTGGTTCCCGTATTACCTAAAAAATACTATTTTGCCTTTGATTTATTTATTTATTTAAAAAAATACACCCCCAACCTCACTTCCATATCATACCACCGTACTTTACTTATCCAACATTATTTAAATAAATTAAAAATAAGGCCAAAATAGTTTTTTTAAGTATGAAAGGGACCAAACCTGCAACAAAAACAAACTGTAGGGACCTTCTAAATTAAAAAAATAAATTAAAGACCAAACATTTAAATTACCCCAAACTATAAGGACCATTTGTGTAATTTACTCTTTGGAAAATGACAAAAAAGCGAAAATTATATCATTGACACTTTGTTATTTAATCAACGCCACATAAACAAATAATAATATTATAGGAAGGTAACTTGTAAAATGGGTGAACTCGCCAAAAAATCGAGTGATAGATTGTTTGAAATAACAAATAAAAGAAAAATAAAATTGAAAAAATGATACAATATATATATATATATATATATATATATATATATATATATATATATATATATATATATATATATATATATATATATACTCTCTAACCAACCAAGACCGATGGGTATTGCTCATGCCTATACCCACATTATGGTTGCTGCATCATCATCTTCTCTCCATAACATCTAAAGGGGATGGTGTTCATTTTTTGAAACGCAAGAAGAAAAACAGAGCAAGGAAGAAAGCAAAACAAGTGTTGAGAGGTGTTACTGGCAACGGAAACCAGAGAGGGTATTGGTGGTGTTATACCAACGTTGAGGTGCCTCCACCTCAGCAAAACGGCTTTGGCCATTGCCCAAAGTCCCAAACCAATCACTCTAAAGGTAAATACATAAAAAGTGAAAAAACACATGAGGCAAGTTTGTAAAAGAATTAGGACTAACATAAGTTTCTGTTTTTATGTCTTTTGTCTCTTCAAAAAACAAACGCTTTTTTTCACATATGTTTGAAGGCCCGCAAACAAGCCAAACATAAGCGATGAAGAAAATCTTTCTCAAAAAAACAAACACCACCCAATTCATGTCCCATTTAAGTCAAAAACAAACAAGACCTTGGTTCTTTTTCAAAGATTCAACAAATTTACAAATGCAACAAAATGAAATCTCTTGTAATTACAAAATGTTACTTGTAGCAATGTTCAACTTCAAATAAAGAAACCGGTTAACCCGACAAAGATGTAGTGGCTGCAAGGTGTGTGAGAGCACGTTTATGGTAATCCACACGCAACTTCTTGTACTTGTGAACAAAACTTGCAACATCCATCTCCTTTTCAAGTAGCTGTTTATGCAGCATTTCAGATTCTTCATCTGTCTTATTTATCAGCTCTGAAACACCCACACACACACACACCCCATTTTCACACTAAATTAACAACACCTCAAAAATGAAAAACAAACGTACAAGAGTTTATTTACCTTGAAGCTGGTGTAACAAAGAAGCTGGGGAGTAAGATCTGAGGATTTCTGCTTTTTGTCTGTTGAGCTCATTTAGCTTCTCTTCAGCAGTTGCCAATTCAGTTGTCCTTATGATCATGCACTGGTTGCGCAATTCTGTCATACATGATTCTTTTGCCAAGTTTTCTCCTGCAAAATAAAATAAAAAATCTCACTTTTATAAAACTTTTTCCACACACATTGAATCTTTATGAGTATAAGTAGAAGCTTACTAGCAAGTTGCAGAGTTTCATTCCGGAGTTCATCTCTTAACTGTTTCATGAAGATGTTAAAATATATAAGGATGGAATATATATATAATAGGAGATAGAAGAAGTTATGAATGTGTGAAGCTTACATTATTTGGAGTTTTGACAAGGTCAAGTGAAAGCAAGAATTGTTGATAAGCCTCTTTGTCAGACAAAAGTTTCCTCAACTCATCAGCACTTTTCACCCATGAAATGACAGTTTAGTTAGAAAAGATGGTGAAAACATACTTAACAAGAAACATGAGGTGTGATGTTTAATGTCATTTGAAGTATTTATTATGCATTTATGTTGTATGGTATATTATATGCATATCCTTTTAAAATGTTTTGATGTTGGAACATGTTATATTCGTGAATAAGAATGTTACCTTTTGTCTTTTAGATAAACAATTATGGCAGCAGCCTCTGTAGGAGAAACAGGAGATAATAAATGAGGTTGAGGTTGATCTCCAGGCCTTTGCATGGTATTGATGGAATTGGGTGTTGAGGGACGAGAAGAAGAACTTGATGAGGGAGAATACCATGAGTTTGTTGAAACTTCCTGTGGCCTTGGATCAGCATCAGCTTGTTGTTCTTGAGAACCCCTGAGATAGTAAGCCCATTAGTTATATGTTAATCTAATGAATAAATTCATCCAATGTTATACAAGGTAAAGGGACTAAGCTTTAAACTAGTCGTAAACAAGAACAGTAGGTTATAAGATTGTGATGGGCAAAGGCACTTCTCGGAATTGCAATTGAAGCAAAATTAACACTTCCAAGTTCCAACTAATGAGCTTCAATTCAAAACCTTATTACAAGGCACCGATTGCGATTAGTAGCCAGATGAGAAAATCCATCTAAGATTACAACCCTAGAATATACGAGAATCGAACTATACGGAAGAATTACCAGAACTTGAACATATCGTTGATCTTCCGGTTGACTTTGAGACGTGAGATTACCAGGACTGCAAAATCGAAAACAACCCCTCAATGTTATTGAAATCATATCTCACCGCTTACTTTATAAAATCATTCTATGCCAAACGAAAAAAGGGGGGAAATATTGATTGGGGAGAAGAGAAAACGGAGATTACGTTGAATAGAAGCAAGGACGGACGGAAAATTTGCCGCCGGAGATACAGTTTTGCGATTACCTTTACCCACAAGATTTCAAATCCTCGGCGGGTCTGCGTTTCCCGGACGCGTGTGGGCCGATGATGTACCAATTCATACTACAACAATGGCATTATTCTTTATTTAGAAGAGCCAACAGTCCAACTCCAACACAACGCCTGTTTTTCTTGTTAGTTAAGGGTTGATCTTGGCATTTTAGTATATCTCATTAACTTTATAATCCAACAACACGATATAATAATCTCTCGCAAATTTAAAAACTGGGTGTTTGTTTATAGAAAAAATCACAAAATTAGCCAAATACACTAATGATTTTACAAATTTAGCCAAAAAAAATTAAAATTGCAAAATTAGCTAGTGATTTCAGACTTATCTGCGATTTTGCTTTCCATCTACAATTTTTACTATTCATCTGCGATTTTATGCAGAATTTTCTATAAAATGTTTTTTTCTTTATTTTTCATTCTTCAATACAGAAAACCTCTTTCTTTCGGGGATTTCTTTTAACGATTTTTTAAAGAAAATGGAGGATTATTTCAATAATCCCGCAAATATGGTTAGATTTTAATTATTTTTATGTTTTAATTAACATTTATTTAGTATATGTCTTTATTATTTTATTATTTATTGTATTAGTTACTGTAAAAAAATGAAATTATATTGTTTGTGATATTGTAATTTTATTGTATTTGATAGTTTTAACATTTGTTATTAATAAAATTGAAGTTTAAATACTATTTTGTTAGTGGTTGTATGAATGTACAAGTAGATACTGCGTAGAGTGTGCATCGGGTGGTTGTATATTTAGTAAAATGGTTAGAATATGCTCATTTTTTTTAAGTTATTAGTTAAATAAATTGTTAGAATAATGTTTACAATATGTTTTGGTTAGTGGTTTAAGTTGATAAATTGATATAGCATGGTTAGAATATGTTATTTGTCGTTTGTATAGTTGTTGTATAACTTGAAAAATTGTATATTCTTATCATGTAATTATTTTTATAAATTAAAAAATGGTTATATTATAGTATATGTACAATAGTCGTTTGTATATATATATATTTGTAGTATAAGTTGAAAATTTGTATATATTTGTTTTTGAAGTATAAATTTTTTTATAGTATGGTTAGAAAATTTTATAATATGTGTACAATAGTCGTATTAGTAGAAAAGATTTTATAGTATGTTTAGAAAATATTATTTTATATAATATGAAAGTTAAAAATTAGTTGTATATTTGTCGTATAACTTAGAAAATTGTTAATTTAGTTGTCGTTTTATTTGAAAAATTGTTTGTTTATATGGTTAGAAAATTTTATTTTATATAATTAGAAAGAAAAATTGTTTGTATATTTATCGTATAACTTGGAAAATTGTTTATATATTTGTCGTTTAAGTTGAAATTTTTTTATAGTATATGTATGTTATTGTTTTTTAGCGTAAATATTTAAATTATTTATTAAATATTTGTATTTGCATTGTTATTATTGTTTATGTTATTATTACACTTAATAATCATATATTTTAAATGAAATATTTGTTTAGTTGTCTAATATGTTATTGTGTTTTGTGCAACATGATTATAATAATTTCAATGTAAAAACAATTGTAAACTTAAAAGGATCCGGGTGTAATATATGAGAAATATTTGAAGTGTTAGATGGTGTTAGGCGCGGTATATTTAGAGATATCGTATTTGGTTACTTGTTGGACGTCCCTCGTTTACAAGGGGATGGATTGCTGTTCCTTCATCAAATACGGCCGGACGCTGTTTTATCTCCAAATGGAATAAAACGGTTATATTTTAGACTAGACGATACGAAAATGGTATATGGGCCGGAAGAGTTTTGTTTGATAACCGGCTTCAATTTTGGGGAGTATCCAAAAAACATCGGGAAAAAAGTGTCAGAAAAAATAGTTAGTAGTAAAAAAAAAATTGTTTATTGTGTGAGTGGCTATTTCCGAACTATACAAATAGTTCGGTGAAAATCGGTGATCTGAAAAGTTTTATTTTAAATCAATAATTCTTAGAAGTTGACGACGTCGATAAAGTTAGAGTATATTTGATATACATTTTGTGTGAAGGTTTTTTGGGAAAAGAAATAAATGATCGGGTGCCAAGAGATTGTTTTTTTTTTTTTTTTGATGTTTGGAACATGTATTTTTTGTTTACTTTGAAAGTTTTTATATTATTAATGTTAATTTATATTATAACTAAATTTTTTTGTTTTGTTAGTTTCGCTTGGGGAAACTATCTTTGAGATTTTACGTATGATGACCTTGAGGATACATGAAATAAGATAAATAAATATTTATTACTTCCTGAGCGTCCCCAAACTTTAAAAATATTCTGTCTCAGGATTTACGGCTCCAATTAGGGTATAAAAATTTACTTATATTTAAATGGTTTTATTGTTATGTTTGTAATTTTAATTTTAACTTTTATTACTATAATTGTAAAAAATATAGATATGGATACATGAGATGCTTCCGGCTGTTCGTGCATGTGGATGTGTTGAGATTAAATAGAGACATGTCTCGGATGACACAATGGAGTGGGACAAAAAAATTGAAATGGGTTGATGTGAACAAGATTTTTTCAAATATACAAGTTTATAATTTTTTTTATTATTAATAAACTTCATTATTATACTTTTATATGCATTTTTAATATGTTCATTTTTTTGGATGGACAACCACCAAGACAAAACATGTTACCGAGTGATGGTGAGATGTCATCTTGTTATTATATGTCATTTCAAGAGTATGTATATGGTGATCGGAAATCAGTTTTATCCCCAGTACGGGACCATTTTGGGAGACAACACGAATCTTCATCTAGTATGTCGACTAGTGGTCGCTCTCATGGTAGAGATAGGGGCAGTGGGAAACACAACCTAGAGGAGGTGTTGAAACGGTTACATGCACTGGAGCATCATATGTTTATGAACCGAAAACCTATAGAGGTTTTTGTTGAAGAAGTGAATAATGAAGATTTATGGAATAACATCAGTTTTGAGGAGCCTGCAGTATTCCAAACAAAATTTGATGAACGGGTTAGTTACACGCTACATTATTTATTTTATTTTATTAACATAAATGAATATTTGTGTTCATATTTTATATTTGAAAATGTAGGTTGTAGAAGATGAAGTGATGAATAAAAATAATACAATTGACAATATTTTTGGTGATATTGAAGACGACAAGGTTATTATAGATATTACATTTACGATTTTAATAATTAATTTTTAATGTGTCTTTCGTTAATAAGTATAATGTGTTATTTTTAATGTAGGAGTTGGAGGAGAGGAATGACAATGCGGGGAACAAATTTGATGATGATGTGTTTGATGTAAATGATTATAATGAAGCTAAAGAGGTTCTTATACTTACATTTATTTTAATTTTGTTTTTAGTAGATTGAAACATTTTTTTTAATTAGAGATTATTGCTTATTAAAATTAGGTGTCGGAGGAAGATGAAGTAATAATTACGGGAAACGTAGATTATTATGATGCTTATGGTGTTGATAGCAAAGAAGTTACACTCGATAAACTGAGGACTCGAAAACCATCACAATATTTGTGCCCTCCTTACACCGAGGTATTCATTTAATTTGTAAACTTATATGGTAATAATAGAATTTTATGTTTATGTGAATTATCTGAAAGATAGAGATTTAAACATTTGAACATTGTTTTTAGTTGCACACGACACTTAAGCAAAAAAGAAGATTGATATGAAATCAACAAGCCTCGTTCCTCCTCCAGCTTTTGTTGTTGTTCACGACTTCTCCGTGTTACGTCTACAACCTTACGTAGCAGGCGATGAGGTTGTCATCCAAAATTATTTATTTCATTCATATGATGTCCAACATCGCTTGTTTAATTTCGTGTTAGATAGAGATTTTTGGAGCGCTTTGTTTGGGCATACAAACAACGGATGGTTGGGGTCATCAGTAAAATAATTGTTTATTTATTATTTTAAAAGTAATTTGTTTTTTAGTCAATAACAAAAGTATCATAATTTTGTGCAACATATAACCATTTGGTATAGACTATTGATGGAGAGACGGTTTGATGGCGACCGACATACAATAATGCCTCCAATTTTTTTTGTTTTCCATGCTTTGGAAGAAGGGCAGGATTGGAGGGCATTTATGGCTGGTATTGCTACGTACCCCAACTTCATGGTGGCTTGGTGGGATGTCGATACGGTAAACTTAATTGTTTATATTGAAAATATTATCGTTATGTTTTTGTATTGTGATATAAAAAACATAATTTTATTTTCTAATCCTTATACGAGTCCTATTGCCGATTCATTCATCCCATACTCACTGGTTATTTGGGGAACTACGATTGGCGTCAATGGAAGTCCATATTTATGACAGTCTCGGTAGAGTGGCTTATGAAAAATTCAAATCTGATGGAACCTTTACCAAATTTGAATATTGGGTGACAAATTATTTAGACAAGATTAACTATTGGGCCCGGAGGAACATCCCAAGGATTCCATTGAATATGCAATTCATTTATGAAGAAAATGTTCCCCAACAATGTAGTAATTTGGGAGATTGCTGTGTTTTTGTTTGTATGTTTATGGAACAATTAGTTTCAGGTCAACCAATACGTGAATTTATTGACCCAAGGAATGCAGCTTTAGAGTTTCACCAATGGATGACAAAAATTAATTGGGGGTCGAGTCTAGGTCCTATGTAGTTGGATTATATTTTTGTATATGTAAATTAATGTTGGATTTGATTATTAGTTTATTTTTAGTTTTAACGTTACAAGTACAAACGAGTACACCATTAGTCTATTTTTAGTTTTAACGTTACAAATACAAAAGTTTAAACATAACAACAATTACAACAAATTAATGACCTACTAATAACTTCTCAATACTTACAACATAACAACGACACCAACATTTGTTTTAACGTTACAAGTACACTGTACTAAACATAACAACAAATACAACAATTTATTGACCTAACAACTTCAAAACTATCAAAACAATATTAAAAAGCTTACAACTTGTAAACAAGAACTGCCAAGAATAACACCCAACTACAAACCAACGCTATCTTTAACTTATTATTTTCTGATTGAAATAGCTTATTAGAGTTAGCTACTTTAGCTATTACCATAGATGATTGGTCCTTCTCTTCGTCAACCCAACTGATAAACCCGCATTTTAGTCCTTGTAAATTTAAACATTGATAGTAAGAAATTGTTGCCATGTAAACATGAGGGTGTAAATATGAATGGCGTTATGAACATGATACCAAATATGGGCAAGCGTAAAACAATCTTCCTGGGTATTTAGCTGTACCCGAAATCCTAACGATACGTTCACCTCCGCAATTACAGTATGCCATTAGCCTTATTTTTTTCTATTAAATAGGAGTTACTTTCTCAGATAAATTTCTCAGAATGACTTTACACCCATTTATAGAAGAAATTATATTACAGACAATTATGTTTGACTATGAAATGAACTTGTTTGACTGTGAATTCAAAAAGTTGAACTATGAATTGCAGACAAGTACATTGTCTTGTCTTGTCTTGTCGATCAATGATGTTTGACTATGAAATGAATTGGTTTGACTATGAATTCAAAAAGTTGAACTATGAACTGCAGACAAGTACATTGTCTTGTCTTGTCTTGTCGGTCAGTGATTTTTGACTATGAAATGAACTGGTTTGACTATGAATTTAAAAAGTTTAACTATGAAGTATAAACTGTAGAGAAACTCTAATTTCAATATAATTATAATTGGA